ACGAGATCACATGAGTAAGGTTTCTTATGCTTCAACTATTAGTTCACTTGTGTATATTATGGTTTGCACCATACCAGATATTACCCATGAGTGGGAGTTGTTAGCAGATACATGAGCAATCCATGAAAGGAACATTGGGAAGCAATGAAGTGGATCTTGAGGTACTTAAGAGGATATGAATAAATTCACTTGTGTTTCTCATGAAAGAGTTCAGAGGTACGGGGCTATGTTGATGCTGATCTAGCTGGAGATATTGATACCAGAAGAAATACTACATGTTATATTTATACTATTGGTGGCACTGGAGTATCATGGGGCTCTAATCTGCAGAAGACAATTTCTTTGTCTAATACAAATGAGTACATAACAGTGTCAGAGGCTGCAAAGGAGATGATATGGCTACAGGGCTTCTTGAAGGAATTAGGCAAGAAGAATCAGAAGGGCATTCTCTATAGTGATAGTTAGAGTATCATATTCCTTGCCAGGAATCTAACATTTCAGTCCAGGACTAAGCACATTCAGATCAGGTATCATTTCATATGATCATTGTTGGATGACGGACAGTTGATGCTTGAGAAAATTTGTGGAAGCCAGAACCCTGTTAATATATTGATAAAGGGTGTTACTCTTGAGAAATTGAAATTGTGCGCAACTTCAGTTGGTCTTCTGAGGTGAAGACATAGACCTTGAGTTGCAGAGGTGGAGGATAACACGTTTGAAGAAAAGGGCTACACGGTCAGTGCATGATATGAATTTGAGTAAGAAAACGTTGTAGTATGTGTACCGTTCTCTAAGTGAGAGATTTGTTGTGTGGAGCTCGGTTAAATAAAAAAAAAACATAACTGTACACCCACCTATCCTTCTCTCACGCGAAACGAAAAGGTCTCCCGCTCCCATCTCGCTCCCGCCCCTCGTCACGTTCGCGAACTGCTTCCGTTCATTCGGTTCGCAAAACAAAATTCTCGTCTCTCGTGAAACAGAGACTCGCCTCCTTGAATCGTGAAACTGTAGAACTCTCTGCTTTAAGGAGTTCTTGCTCACGTGTAAGGGCAGGAAGGAAGGAGATTCTCTGCTTGGATCTTTTTTTTTTAGGTTTACGGGAAGAATAAGACAGGTGTTTTGCAAGGTACTCTTTCTTTGTTGCTTTTGCGTGTTTGTCAGAAGGAAGAAAAAGATAGTTGAAGAAAAATGTGATCTTCCTGATTTCTTCATGTTGGCTTGCAGCAGGAGAGAAATAGGTTTTTTTCTTTTGTACGTATTTCTCCTTCTTCGGTGTTCTTGCTCTTGGGTGAATCTCGGTGTAGAGAGAGAGAGCAAGTGAGAGATCTTGTAATTGTTGACGTGATCAAACGGTATAATTCCTCAATTAATAAAATCATCTGTAACTTCGTGGATGTAGGCAATTTGCCGAACTACATAAATATGTGTGTCCTTTTGATGTCAAGCTTTTTCTCGTTCTACTTTTCACTTCATCGTCGATCATTCTATTCTATTTCAAATTACCACAACATGTATCTCAAACAAAAAAGATCCAAAAGTCAACAAAACAATTCTATTTTAATAGAAAAATTAAAACCTACCACTATACTTAAGAGAATGCATTGATTAGAGGCTGAAATGCAAAATCGACATTTATATAAAGAAAAGGGTGAGTAATGCAAATTTAATTCATATGTAATTTAATATTATACAATTGACCTTAATAACATGCTTCTGATCAAAATGCAATTTTATGTTTTTCATAAAAATATCAAACATTTCTTTTCTCATTTAAAATTATAAACTTAAATATACCATTTGTATCTAATATGTAGCAAATGCTTAACAAATTAAATTTTAAGCAGTTAATAACTTTCAATAAAAATTTATTTCAACAAATAATTTTTAAGAATAACAATATTCTCGTAAAAATATTTATTTTATTTCAATAAAATTTTATTGTCTTTTATATATATATATATAATAGAAACTATTTTTATATGAGAATTATCTTGATATAATTAGGGTCTGTTCGAGGCAGCTGCTGTTTATTGAATAATCTGTTGATAAACTGGGTACGATAGCTATTAGAAAATTTTTTTTTTTTTTTTGAAAAAGTCAGACCGCTGTCAGAAAGCTGTTACCGCACCTAGATAGGTGCAGTGTGAAAACGTTACTTTTAGCTTTTTCAAAACGTATAAGTTGCAAAAATATAATTTACCCAAACAGTTCAAATACATATTCATAACGCCACCGCACCAAATAAGCTGCTTCAAATGGACCCTTAATTAATCTCAAAGACTGGTGTTTTTATTCTTAAGCAACCGCGTAACCGTGTGAAACGTTTTAAACCTTAAAAACGGCTATGACTTTTACACTGACTAATTATTATTATTATTATTATTCATAAATAGATACATTCTGTAGTAGTGATATTGACATATCAACAAATAATGGGGGCAGTAACGTAAATATTTGATAATTCCTATTTAGTTTCATGTCTAATATTTATGTTTTTATATTTACATACATAACAATTAAATATTTAATATTATATCAAAATATCAGTATTATTGATGAATGCTAGAAGATTCACGATAGCAGGGTAATAAATTATCGTCTTTGCATCGTACGAGAATCTATCACACTCAAATAAAAGTAAATTACTGATAGAGACATTAAAAATTTTTACTTAGGAAATTCAGAAATTAAAAAGACTGCGGGGTCTTGCCCGATTGAAATGTTTCACTATGAGTTTATGATTACAAGTACATTCTCATGTCCCCATAGGTGAGAAGAGTTTTTTAGTTAAAATTCGTGAGTAGAAGAACTCGTTGTCTCGTAGTAGGGAGCAGTTGATGTGAGGAGTAATTGTTGGAGCTTTAGTACATCATCTTCGGGGTCAACGCAATGTTCGGGAAGATGCACAATTTTGTAGGTTGCTATGTAATTCTGCGGTTGTTTGTTACTTTGCACGAAGTTTCACCGTCAAGAGCGGGTGGCAGCTGATGTTGTTTGATGGCGACTAACTAGTGATTGTCGACGGTGGTTGACGACTGCAAGAGCTGGAAGTATTCATCGAATCGTCGATGCATAATATCGGACTTCAGCTCCATCTTCTCTAGGCTCTAGTATTCCTTTGGCTCAAGGTCTAGTCCCCTTCTCAAGAAGAGATGAAAGTTTATTTATAATCTAGATTATAAATAATGAATGAATAGACCACTCTGATCGGACGATCCAGGTAGCTTATGTGTTTTCAAAATGCTGAAAACAACGTTTTCGCTCCGCACCTATCTAGGTGTGATGACAGCTTTCTGACAGCAATCTGATTTTCCAAAAAAATAAAAATTTGTAGTAGTCGCTGCACCTAACTTATCAATAGAATATTTTTAGTCAGTTTATCAGCAAATTATTTAATAAGTTGCAGCTTCCCCAAACAAACCCCAAGATGTTAAGAAAAATGTATCGATGATGTAATTAATAAATCCAATGGAGTGCTAAATAAATAATTATCTTTAATTTAAAAAGCCTTAGTTACCTCATTTTTCTTACTTTTTCTTTTTTTTTTGGCTTTAATGAAGATCAATTTATTCTTCTTTTATTGTTGAGATTATATTTGTTTAGCATAATTATAAGTAATTTATTTGTTATTTTTTAAAAATAAATCAATTCATTTAAAAACCACTTAAAATGATTTTTTTCTTTAATAGTTTAAATTTAAATTAAATTATTTTCTAATTTATTTTTTTTCAAATCCAAATATAAATAAAATTAAATATACATATATAAAATTAAAAAATGTCCCAAATGGTCTCTTAGTGTCTCTTTTAATTCTTTTTTTCTCTTATTTATTTTTATTATAATTTTTTTAAAATATTTTTTATTGATAGAATTTTTATATGTTTTCTTAAACCAAAAAAAAAATAAAACTTATATTCAAGCAATCCAAAATATAATTTTGTTATTTTGTGCACTATTTTACTTTAATTTATTTTTCAATAATCAATGTTTAGTCTGTCATATTTTTCTCTTTCTATAGTTAAAAAAGTATATGAATCATTCCATCACATGAATATACATTTGATCCTATAAAAAATCATCACCTTTTGTGTGTGCCAAGGTGAAACAATGAGGAATAAAATCAAGACTAATATACTAACAAATGTTTATCAATTCAAAAAAAATCAAGCCATTTATTAACTTTCAATAGTATCATGTAAAGAACTCAAGCTTTATTTCGTATTGCCGAATTCAATGGCTTGATCGAGGTCGATAAACACTCAAGTTCAGCTCGTGAATGGGCTCGGACTTACAGCTTGGCCAGAGCGACCCAAGAACTCACGCCTACTCGCAGCTCAGCATTTCATGTAGCTATCAAAGGTGCCAAAATACCATGTATTATTATATATTTATTATTATAATTATTACTATTTTTTACAATCATGCATTATATCCTTAAATTGATAAATAAAGAATTATAAGTCAAAATTAGGGAGATGATAGCATATGTCAATGTTAACATATATAGATAGACTCCTTATTTCCAAGTACTCCTTTAGGAGACAACGAGCATAAATGAATCAAACACATCATTTCACAGTCTTGATGTCATGCACATTATAAAATATATTCGATAATATCAATATTAAATAACTGAAGCATAAATGAATATGAAAGAATATTACAAAAACAAAGGCTTAAAATTACAAAAATTTTACTATAAGAACTTACAAAGTCTAAATTATAATATAGTTTAAAACTTATTAGATTATCTCTTTATACCTACAAATATCCTATATATTTCATACTTCAATGAATTTTTTCCTTGATTTTATTTATCCTTATATATTGGAATCCCCTCTGGCACAGTTAGCCTTAAGGAGGTAGTACTCCAATTTGATAAACACATTAGGAATGACTAGAGGCTCGTATAATAGCCTCTGACCATTCCTTCTTTTTTATATATATATATATATATTGGTATTAGGTTGCTAAAATTATTGATTGTATTCAAACGAAAGAGCATAAACTTTCTCACAGATTTATCAAAATCAGATAATCAGATCTCACAAGAACTGTAGCAACAATAAAGTTATACAATATATGCAGCTACAATTTATAGCAAATCTTATAAATTTACTTATTACCTTCATCATCAAGATCGGAACTTGAATCTTCAGAACCAGTACTTTCTTCTTCTTCCTCCTTAAAATCACTCAAAACCGATTTACAGCCTCGCAGAAATGGCATGGTTTGTGTTAGATGGAGTAATTATATGATTTCGAGTGATATCTTTCAGAGAGGTGCAGCCACTTAAAGCCATTGTGAGTTCAAACTCATCTCTGAGCATCTGCAGCACCTTTCTCACTCCTGCTTCTCCCTCAGCAGCCAAAGAGAACACCACAGGCCTTCCTATCTGGGATTTTTAATGAACTATCAGTTTCTCTCACAAAGAAAAGAAATTGTAAAGAAATCTTTTTTCTGCAGGAAAAACTGACAAATGCAGCACAAAACATTATTAACAGACTTGAATGATGCATTTTAGTAAATTTTATCGAGAAGAGAACTAATGAGCTTGATAATCTAACCAAATCAGGCTCTCACATGAATTAATACTTTATGTAGTAGCTACTTACAAAAACACCAGAGGCCCCAAGAGCAAGTGCTTTGAAAACATCGGTTCCACGGCGGACACCGCCATCTAGGAAAACAGGAATTCGGCCTTGAGCAGCTTTGACAACCTGAATTCATGGATTGATTGTTCACCAAATTTGCTCCCAAAAATATATTTTTTTTTATTTTTTTTTTATGCTAGGGAGAATCGATATAGAAAATTACTTCTTCGAGTGCGGTGATGGTTGCGGAAACATAATCGAGTTGTCGTGCTCCATGGTTGGATACTATGATACCAGCTGCGCCATTTTGGACAGCCAGACTTGCTGCATGGTGATTGCAGATCATGAAATTTGAATGAATATTGTGGCTTAAAACATGAGGTAATGAGATAAAAATGAATGTGGAGATATCAGATTTCTCACCATCTTCAGCAGTTAGAACTCCTTTAACAAGAATTGGCAAGGAAGTGATTGATTGCAACCACTTCACATCCTGGTAAACGAAAGAGTAAGACAAATCATTAACATATTGTATGGGAAGTTTGATGGAAGAGAAGTGCAGAGAAAAATATGGCTTTGCTTTCTAAGTGTGTAAGATATCAAAAAAGCCCCCTTACTGTTTACACGAGGTAATTTAGACCCAGACTCTAAAAGTATCAAATTAGTCCCCAAAATCTTTAAATTAAGGCTAAAATAATCTTCTCTGGAAACTATTTTAGACGATTTTAAAAAAAGCTAAGGACTAAATGAGCATTTTTATAAACTATGGGACGAAAATGACCTCACTATAAAGAGTTAGGAGGCTATTTTGACACTTGTCCCCTTTCCAAGTTCATAGTTTCGAAGGCATACCTTCCAGCTCAGAGAGCGGTCGATTTGACCGGCGACATACGAAGCCAAGCCAGAATCATCAGTCTATGGAGAACAGCAAAAGAATTTAGAAAAAAGAAAACTTATAAGAAAAAGCAAGCAGTTCATATGAGGCTCTCACCTTCTCCATCTTGCCAAGGTCCAGGCCCTCAAAGTTCTTGAGAGTCAAGAATGGAGGTAATGTAAACCTATATGATTATGTGTATGTTAGCATTACATTTTAAAAAATGTGAAAATTTGATAAAATTCTGGGAAGAAATGCCATTTCAGCATTATGTCATTGACTTCTGAATCATATTTGCATTTTCGCGAATTAGAAAGCCTAAGAAATTAAAAATTAGCCATCTTAGTGTACATTCTGTTCTAATATATTTCCGCTTAATTTTTATTATTTTATTTTATTTTTAACATGCTCACATACCTTAAGCCTTGAACTCAAGGCCAAATGAGCTGCATTAAAAACACGAATGATTTACTTACATGTCACACAGTTCTTATGTATTTACATATTTAACACCAAAGCGTTGATATTTGCATATTAATATCATTTTGCCTATCATCAAAAGGAGCATTTTACTTTCAAAAACTTAATGATAGTGATATTTTTGACATTATAAGAAGATTTAAGTGTTAGAAAATATAATTATCAAACTTTAGGCGTTATATATGTAAATTCATAAGAATTGTGTGGCATGTATCTAAACGCCCCTAAAAAAAACAATTTTGATTTCCATGAGAAACATGCTTAGAAACTCACCACCTTGAATATGGGACTGATTATTCAATTTCATACATCACAATTGTACCCAAAAAAAAACAAAAAACAAAACAAAAAAAAAATCATTACTTTAAAATCTATGAAAAAATTAATAACAAAATAAAAAAAACTTGGAATTACCTGTTCTTGATATCAGCTTCCCTACGGCCAAGCCGAGGAGTATCCACAGTAAGGGCTATCGCCTTGAAGCCAGCCCTCTCAGCCCTCCTGACAAGCTGTGCAACCACATTCCTATCTTTGTAGACCTGATAATTCAAAGTTGGGAAAAACAGTAGAAGCCAGCAGCAGTTGAATTTATTTGCTGTAGTCCATTAATAAGAACAGTTTTCCTAAGTTCAGGGAAGGGAGAAGTCTTACATAAAGCTGGAAAAAACGTATTCCCGGCCCGGTGGAAGCAACCTCTTCAACACTTGAAGTAGCCCAAGATGACAGTGTCTAGAAAAAGAAGCCATACAACAAAGCAAAGCTGTGGTAATAAATAATAAATAGGTATAGAACAATAAAGATAATAGTAAAAAAATTGTTTCCTGAATCTTTGCAGAGGGTCATTACTTTACTCGTACTTATAGTTTGAGTAAAGCGCCAAAATAGTCCCCTAACTATTTACATAAGTTATGTTAGTCCCAACTCTATAAGAAGTGTCAAATTAGTGCTATTATATTACAATAGGCTATAATGGATACTATTTGGATGAGGAATGCAGCGTTTCATCCAAAATTTAATAGAAAAATAATGCAACAGCTAAGAAAATTCAGCTGAAAACACCAAAGGAATTGGAATGAAAGTCTATCGCTTATCTAATTTGCATTCAATATGGCGACACGATTTAACAAATAGACTTCATTTGAGCATGCTATGAGATATTTAACTTTTAACATAATTGGCACCGAGTAGGAAAAAAGTTTGAAGGTTATGTGATTCAAAATCAATAAGGAGATATTGAAGAGGGAATGAGGAAAAATCAAACCTATTCGGTATTGGTCATTTAAGATTCTAAGGAAAAATGAAAATAACACACACAAATTGGCTATGGATGCCTTCATAAAAACTTACTGAATGATTCATTTAAGAAACTATAAGCCATTCAAGCCTTCAATGTTGGATGTCAACATTTATAATGTTGAGAAGAGTTTATCAAAGCTGAGAAAAACTAGATAGGCCAAGAAGAATCCACAAAAGTTCATAGAATGGGGTGAATTGATGCAGAAATCAATGCAAACAACTTGTATTTGTATCTATGATTTCCTGTGTTGAATTCAATCAGTCATCGTTAGTAATTAATATTTTCTGTATTTTAATAGTAGTAGGCATTCCTTACTTATATAAGGGGATGCTATAGGAAATACAAGGGGTGACTTAGAGATTGTGATAAATTGGGAACATGAGAGACCAAGCCTAGGGAGGAGGGAGTCAATATTTTAAAAGGGGCATCATAGAGTTGGAGAACTAGAGGGAAGGAGGATTCAATGAATCATTGCCTTCATCCCTATATGAATTCATTATGGTTAGACTAATGAAATTTTATTTGTTTGTTACTCTACTATAGAACAAAAATTAAGACTCTTTAAGCCCACATGTTTGACTTGTTGGATGTATCTCCTTTCAAAGTCCTACCGGTGGCTATTATGATAGATTTATAAGTTATATTACTAAAAATTGTTTGCCTCAAAATTATTTTATTTTCACCATATGTTTCATTCAGAGTCTTAAGCGAGAGATTAATTATGCTACAATATACCAAAAACCCTATATAAGACATTTGCTAGATCAATAAATATCGAAGTATGTTAATCATACTATTAGAACTATTGACATGTAATTTTCCACTTCCTTAAAACATCCTGAAGATGCATCGCATCAACAGAACAATCATTTGCAAATTAAATTGATCCAGTTGAAGATAAATGTACTTCAATGCACAATACAATGACATTCATATTGCACATAATGAAGTCAGAGTGATGAGTTCCTCTTGAATATGTTGCAAAGATAATTAATTTCAAAAATGGACTCTTCCATTACACCATGACGAAAAACATGCATTTCTCCATGAGTGTGCATGCATGTTATAACTTGATATTGAATCAATATAACAAATAACGAAATAAACAAAAAAAAGAGCACAGATATTACATGGAAAACCCGATAGGAGAAAAATCACGGGCAAAAAAGAAGAATTCACTATATCAATTGTGAAATTACAAGTGGCGAGCTGCAGCCAACATAAAATCAAAATAGGAAAAAGCGATTCCTCTTTTACATAATAAAAAGGAGGGTATTTATAGTTTTACCAAGACCTTTAAAAGAAATAATTAAAAAGAGTCAATAAAATAATAGCACGTGGAATACAATCTAAAAGCTATTATAAGATTAATCAAATGGTCAAACTTTTCAATCTACGCGCTCACAATTTCCTTCTAAAGCCTCAATCTGTGTGCTCAAGGTTTTCTTTTAAAAGTTCTAATCCGTGCGCTCATAATTTTCTTATAAGATGATAAGCGGGACCCACAAAATTTGGTCACAAATTTAACAATATTTACCTTGACATGAATTTCCAAATATATAGAATATAACTTTCTAACCTCTTCCACATAGCTTTAATGATCAGAAATGAATACCAACCAAGTCTAAGTAATCTTAAAAATTGGCTATTGGGAGTGTCTTAGTCATCATATCCACAAGATTATCATGAATACAGATATTGCTTAAAACAACATTACCATGAGCAATAACTTCACAAACAAAGTGATAAAGAACATCAATGTGCTCGATTCTATCATAAAACATATGATATTTACTGAGGCAAATAGCACTAACCATCACACATTAGTCTGGTGATCTTCAAATCTTGACTAAATTTTTTAAATAAACCTTTCAACCAGAAAGCTTCTTCGTAAAATTCAATTATTGTAATGTACTCGGCTTCAATTAAAGATAATTTCACTATTGTTTGTAAAATAGTCTTCTATCTAATCGCATAACCACCAATAATAAACATATATCCTGTAAATAATCTCTTTCTATCAAGATCTTCAACAAAATCTACATAAACATAGCCAATAACTCAATATTTAGTCCTCTCGAAATGCAAACAAGCATCTTTTGTTCCATACAGATACTTGAGGATCCACTGAACTATTTTCCAATATTCTTTACCTGGATTACTCATATATCTGCTAACCACACTTACTGCATATGAGAAATCTAAACAAGAAGATATCATAGCATAAATGAAATATCGGACTACACTGAAATATGAAACTCGAGACATAAAATCAATCTCATCGTCAGATTGTGAATGCAAACCTGGTATGAGCCTAAAATGCACGGTAAATGGAGTACTAACAAGTTTGACATTTTGCATATTAAACTTATGCAGAACTTTCTCAATGTACACTTTATAACTTAGAAATAACTTATCTGTCTTTCAATCTCTCTGAATCTACATGCCCGAATATTTTCTTTTCAGCTCCCAAATCCTTCATCTCAAACTCACTGCTAAATTGAGCTTTTAACATTTTGATGTCTTTTTAATTCTTAGAAGCTATCAGCATATCATTAACATATAAGAGCAAGTAGATAAATGATCTTTTATTATTTTTTTTTAAGTAAAAAACAAAAATCATAACCACTTCTCTTTAAACTGACGAGCAATCATGAATGAGTCAAATTTCTCATACCACTAACTAGGAAACTGTTTCAAATCGTAGAGAAATTTCTTCAACAAACAAAAATAATCTTCTTTTTCTGCAACCACAAATCCTTTAGACTGCTACATATAAATGTCATTTTCAAGCTCTTTATACAAAGGCATAGTCTTTACGACTTACTACTCAAGCTCAAGATCATGCATATTCACAAAACCATGTAAAGCTTTAAATTGAGCTATGCTTGACATACCAGAGAGAATACATCAGCAAAATTTACACCTTAAACTTGACTGAATCCCTTTGCAACAAGCCTAACCTTATAACGGGCATCTCCAACTCCCGATGTGCCTTCTTTCTTCTTAAACACTCATTTGCACTGAACAGTTTTTTTGTCTTGACAACTTTGGAAATCTTAAGTGTTATTTTTGTGTAGGGATTCAATCTCCTCTCACATAACAATCATCCACTTACTACAGTCAATTGAATTCACCGCTTCGTTATGGCTAAAAGGCTTTTCACCACACTCGATGATTTCAACTACATTTAGAACATAAGCAACCAAATCGGCCTCACCATAACTTTGGGCCTGTTTTTTTTTTTTTTTTTTTTTTTTTTCTTTTTTTTTTTTTTTTTTGCACTATTCTTGGCAGTAAAATATTGTGATAGTTGTTGTTGTAGTGGTGAGAATGTAACTTCACCATGATTATCTGAATTTGATTCAAAATTTTGCCCAATAATGTACCTAAAGCTCCACTTATCTGCTTGACATCGGCTTTTGATCATCACTCTTATATTTTATAATAGGTGTTGTATGTAACATGGCAAACTTATCAAATACAACATCTCTACTAATGATCACTTTCATGATTTCTGGGCACCACAACCTATAACAATTGACTCTAGTTATATAACCAAGAAATACACTTTATAGATCCAGATTCTAATTTTTCATTATTAATATGAGCATATGTAAAACAGTCAAAAATTCTTACATTAGAATAATATATATGTTTATCTGACTAAAACGACTGAAGTCTTCTTGTCAATAAAAATGGAAGGAAAGCGATTCACCAAGTAACAAGCTCTAGAAGCAACTTCAACCCAAAATGACTTAGGTAGCTTGGTATTGGATAGTATGCAACGAAAATTCTCCAAAATAGTCATATTCATACTCTCTGCCACACCATTTTGCTGAGGTGTGTGTCAAACCGTGAAGTCTTTCATAATTTCTTCCAATTTGTTGAAGACATTAAATTCTACTAAACAGAATTCCAACCCATTATTAGTGCGAAAGTATTTAATCTGCTTTCCAGTCTTCTTCTCGATCATAAGCTTCCACTCCTTAAAAGTGATAAAAATATCGCTCTTCTACTTTAAGAAGAAAACCCAATCTTTTTTGGAAAAAGATTAATGAGCATTAACACATTTGGCACACCTTCAGATGATACTGTAGATGGTCCTCAAAGAACATAATATATGTAGTCTAGTATTTCCTTGATATTGTGATGCTAGAATTGAACTTAACTCTCTTCTATTTCCCAAATTAACGGTGCTCAAAAAACTTCAATTAGTAATATTATGACCACTTAGAAGGCCCCTTCTACTCAGTTCAACCATCGCATTCTCACTCATATGCCCAAGGTGCATATGTCAAAATCTAATTGCTTCATCATTTGATATGGACATAGTAATTGTTGCATCACCTATAACTATAGAGTCTTGTAAAACATATAGTCCAACAGTTTTCTTCTGCCTTTCATCATAACCCTTGCCGACCTGTGGAACTCCACCTTCATCAGAATACATGTACCATTTAGCATTACAAGTACATAAGGAAATTAAATTCCTTTTCATATCTGGGACATGTCTCACATCTCCATGTATTCTAATGACTCCATCAAACATCTTGTTTCTAACAGTTCTAAAATCGATAATTACACATGGAGCGTTGTTGCCCATTTGCACGGTATCCTGCGATATCATTTCATACGTTGAAAACCAGTCCCTAATGGGAAACATATGAACATATATGATGAATCAAAAAACTAATTATCACAAGGTTCACTGTCAGAGACAACTAAGAGTTCAACTTCACTAGCAACTTTTTCAACGACACTGGTCTTATAGAATGATTTGATTGTTTGTCTTTCTAATTTGAAATTTCTTTCTTATATTTATTATGCAACTAATAGCATTCAGTTTTGATGTGGCTTATTTTCTTACAGTAATTGTAGATCTTATCTTTATTCATAGATTTTGTTTTAGAACGCTTCTCTTGAGTTCTACCTCGAATGACAAAGCCTTCTTTTTGAAAATCAGATTTATCCACAAGTTGCTTCATATTTACTTTAAAAAATAGAGCATCATATATTTCATCTATAGTAAGTATCTATTGCACATACAAGATGATATCTCTAAACATTGTATATGATGAAGGCAGTGAGAACACCAAGCTTGATGTCAAATCTTCTTCGTCATACTTAACTTCCATTCTTTTAAATCAGAAAGGATTTTCTTAAAGACAGTTAAGTGACCTATAACAGATGCACTTTCTGTCATTCTATGAGAGTGTGTGAGAGTGTGTGAGAGGGTGAACGTTGCTTCAAGTGCAACTTACTTGTAAAACTTTTTTGTCATGCATAATTTATTTAGTTTTAGTCATAATGCAATAGTGGTCTTCTCCTTCAAACATTCTGTACAATCTAATTTTATACAAGAAGATAAATTTGAGAAAGGTCTTTTGATTTTTATGTTATTTCTCCTCCAGCGTCCATGATGAGAGCATCTTTTCGAACCCAAGTAGCACGTCGTATAGATTCATTTGCGCTAAGACAACTCGCTTCTTAACCTGCCTAAGTGAAAATCTATTTTGCGATCTAAAAAATGAATGTTGTACTTCATTCTTGTCATCGTCGATATCAAATTTGGCTCTAATATAATTTATTATAACTTGATATTGAATTAATACAATAAATAATGAAATAAATAAAAGAAATAACACAGATTTTACGCAAAAAAAAAAAGATAAGAAAAACCATTACAAGAGTAGGAAAAATCACTATATCAAATGAAAAATTAATGTTGAGAGCTTCAGCCAACATAAAATAAAAATAGGAAAAAGTGAGTGCACTTGTATATAACAAAAAGGGGTAATTATAGTTTTCACAAGTCCTATTTAAAAAATAATAATTAAAAGGAACCAATAGAGTAATAAAAACGGATTGCAATCTAAAGACTATTATAAAATTTATCAAACAGTCAAAGCCTTCATTCTGCATGCTCATAATTTTCTTTTAAAGCCTCAATCCACGTGCTCATATTTTCTTCAAAAACTTCAATATATGTGATCATAATTTTCTTCTAAAATTTAAATCCGCGTGCTCATGATTTTCTTATAAGATGATAAGTGGGGCCCACAAAATTTGGGTCACAAATTTAACAATGCATATAAAATTCAACAAAAAAAGACACTGGAGTTTTAAATGACATCAGTGTATATCTTCTTGTAGCAAAGATTAAAACACTACAACAAAAAAATGCATCTTCAATGAGTAATTGATAACAAGCTTCTAGTGGCTTACATATCAACTCATGCAATGCTCAAACCTGCCTAGTGAAGAAAACTACTTTTTATTTAATTTTCTGATAGTAGTATGATATCAAGAAAAACAGAAAAATGTCAAAATAGTGCTCTAGCTCTTTGCAGAGATCATTTTAGTCCCGAAGTTTATAAGTGCTAATTTAGTCTTTAAAATTTTTAATTGTGCAGAAATAATCTCTACGGAGGACTATTTGTGACCCAATTTAAAGAGTCTGAGAACTAATTTGGCACTTTTATAGACTCGGACTAAAATGGCCCCATGTAACAATTAGGAGACTATTTTGGCACTTTACTTTTAATTAGAAACAAGAACACAAATAGAATTACAATTAATTTCTTCTAATCAGCCTCATATATTAATCCTCTCCTTAAGCAAGATATTTTCAATCTAAAAAGAGTAGCATGGTAGCCTCCATGTCACCGATTACAAAAATCATGCAAAGTATAAAAAAAGCTTCACTATAAAAAAAAACTTCATATATGCTCACTAATGATGCATGAACAAAATTCATTCAAGTTTATAACCCAAGGTCAATATCTTATCGATCCTGCCACTCAAAGAATAAGTGATAGCCACAAACCATAATAGTCCCAGCAGAAGAGGCTGCCCTTGCTGTCGCATACTCTCCTGTGACAATGCACCATTTCATTCATCAGATATAATTTCCTATTGATGACCACATGTTTAAAAATATTATTAAGAACTAAGATGCCTTATAATTCTCATTAAAAGGTAGTGAAATGAAGGAAAACTTCAAATCTTTATATATAAATTTCAGGAGTAGTGCTTAATATAACTCTAAAGAAGAAAGTTGTTAGACTTTAGATTAAAACTTCAAGCACAGAAGGCAGTCTATGTACAGGTTTTACGTAAATTATTACCTTCCGGGTGAGCCATTTTCTGCATAGCCGTTGGGGCGATCATGATGGGCATCGAAATCTTGAATCCGAGGACGGTAGTGGTAATATCAACACTTGATACATCTATAAGTATACGTGGGCGAAACCTAAAGATCCAAGACAAGTAGCAACAACAAGGATAAAACACTTTCAGAGATAATTTATAGTACTTGCAGTAGAGCAAAAGGTGGAAAAAGACAAAAAAAAAATTACTAACTAACAAAGTGATTATATATAATGAGTTCATCCATCATGAATTTAGATTTTATGCAATTTGGCAAGAAATAAACACATCTTTGCCATCTTCTTAGTATGGATCATCATATCATAGAAATAAGAGTAACTGAACTTCATAGGAAATGTTACATGCATATCACTCAATCTCCATGTATTTTCATATCCAACATTTAAACCTCAATCTTTACATATATGCAACCTTATCTATGCATAAAAATGTGTATTTCACTTTTTAAAAGTTAAAAAAGTGGCATTGTTTATGTGATAAGAAAGATTTATTAGGAGCGTGCAGCAATATTATTCTTGAAAAACAACTCCATCTTCTTTATCCAACACCTTTGTGCTTCCCTAATTAAAAAACTCTAACCAACTCAGCCCAAAGCTTTGTTTTTCATGATTTATTTACAATTTTTGAAAGCCAGAAAACTGACATCAGCAAATTCAGATTATAACAGCACCCGATTCAAATCCTAGCCACCATGAACAACTATACCGCCTATGGTTGCCCATTAATCTTACAGCAACGTGTAGTAATCAGAGAGGGAACACAGAGATAAATAGCAAGAAGCTCACAGTATTCTAGAAAATGCTTCCCTGTTCTCCTTCAGTGTCCACTGATCTTCCGCCCCAGAAGCATAGTAATCATAAACCATTTTCGGCAACTTCTGCTTGGCGATGATTTCGTACTCTGAAACATTAGTTATCTCCATCCTTGCCGCAGAATCTCCTGCACCAAACCGCCAAAATCACTCACCTAAAACAAAATCTAAGCGAACAAATCAATCCGAAGGAAATAATATTCTCCAAAAGCTTTCAATATGCGACACAAAAATCTATAACCCGCAACAAAAACGCAAAATGGGAAAGGAAAGACTTTTCACATTAAAAATTGCGTTTTTATCAATACGCAAAAGAAGAAAACCTCAAAAGCGCATGGGATGGGAAGAGATGCGGACCTAAAGCGGCTCCTGCGAGCAAGAATAAATATGTCCGAAGATTGAGAGCTCTAGAAAGGTGACGTTGTAGTTGGAGGTTAGAAGAAGCAAAGATAGCGAGGGAGAAAGGGGATATCGTTCAAATGGAGAGGAAGGGTGAAGGAACAGGCGGCATTCGGGATGAGCTTTACAAGGTGGGAATATTCACAGCCTTCGCATCCACAAATCTCAGATATGCACTTCAAAAACTCATTTTTTTTTTCACTTCGCATTTGTCCGATTGCTAATGACCAGAAAAATTGGGGAAACGAGAAAATTGAGCGAAAATAGACGACAAATGATATAGTTTGTGTGTTCAAAGTTGTATCTGGAACAATGAAAGGCGGAGAAGAAGATAAGCACTAATGAAAGAAAATAGCTAGAATCAATCAATCAGTTTATGCATATATATATATATATAGAGAGGAATGTCAGCAAAAGCATTCTCTCATCCGCCCACGCACTTAGGAAAAAATATTAAATGTTTAAAACAACGATATTATACAGATTATTATATAATGTGTATAAAATTGAAATATAAAATGGAGATTTACGTGCATACTACCATGATAGATGATTCTGAAGGGCTAGTTTTCCAAGAGTATGAAAGGATGCTTATAAAAAATGGAGAGGGCAAGCTGGATTGGTTTTATAATCTTATCTAGATCAGAAAAGACACTGAACATTTAATGTCATTTTAGACCACCTCTATAGTGTTCTCCATAGGATATTTAGTGATATAATTCTCATAACCAATTCTCCCTTATGAAAAAAATATAAGTTTATCCACACAATCAACATATCATTCACATTACTACGAATCCTGCATTTTATGAGTGAAGTAAATACTATGAAGTTGGTTGTAACTTGGTTGAGGAGAATATTGAAAATGACTCCATCAAACTTGTGCTAATTAGATCCAAAATTTAACTTATGGACATCATCTTTATATCTTCTTCTATCTGAAAAGATCTGCAAAATATACATTATACTTCTTGAGAGAGGGTACTAAATTATATTACCATTATCTTGCTTTTGTTCTTTTCCTAGTTTATATCATGTGTAAGTGTAACAATTATACCCATAACTCATTTTGCATCCAACCATACATGTAGAGTATTTACCTTTGCAAGTTGCAACAAATGCAAAAAAATAAATAAATAAATAATGATCATTCCTTGCCTATTTTATATCATTTATGATTTGTTTGACTTATAGGTGTCATATGCGCTCGTCCAGCTCTAACATAATCACCTCAACTCTTTAATCAAGCTTTGCAAATAAAATATTAGAAGTAATCTTCAATATTATTCAATAGAAATAAGACCTAATATAGAGTTTAGTCTAGCCTTAATCCCATCAAAGGTCTTTAATTTTCCTTCTAAAGCAAATAAAATGAACACCAACAAAGAAGAAGAATGAGAAAGGACTTTGACATACTTTATTAATCTTCAAATATTTGTTGGATTTCTATGAAGGTGTATTATAGCATATGCTTTTTAAAAGGTTAATATAGAAAAATATTGCATCAGGACATGTGACTTAAAATTAGTCAAATATTTATAAAATTTTTAGATTTATTTTGAGTGAAAGTACTATATATATGATTGATATTATATGTATTTTAAATATCCAATAATTTTGAGACTTAACCTGATCAATTTTTTTATTGATCAATCTCAATGTTTTTTTTTTTCCATTGATACGTCATAATTTTAATTTATATAAGAAAAACAATATAAGATATAATATTAAGATTGTATCTCTAACTTTAAAATCATACAAAAATTATAAATTAAAGTACCTTTTTAATTGTCGAACTTTAAAATAAATAGCACAACTTATTGAAACACATCAAATCAAACCATTCAATTGTTGTTGAAAAGAAAAAATAAATTAAAATAATTGAGTTCCTTCCTTGGAAGACCAAGATTGCTATTTACAAAAACAAAATTAAAAAATAACTAAAAAAAAATAACTATATATATATATATATATATATATATTTATATTGTACATCAAAAAGCTGTCTGTACTGACCTTAAAGAGATTCAATGATCCATAAGAGAAGAATATTATGAAGACTTATCCACTACATGGAAGCCAGTTCGATCCAATAGCGTATCCTAGTTTAGTTGACTCAATGGGAAATTCAGTTTTGCAAAGTATCTCTAACAATCTCACGGATATCCAAACACTATACTAGGGAATGAAGATAGAAAATTAGGTTAGATTAGTCAAAAGAGTTGACCCCATCGACTTGAAGTCAACTAAGCTTAGTCGATCAAACCATAAAGCGGTGGGACAATAAGCCCATATTGGTATCATAAATATCCTAGTATAGACCTCTTCCAAATAGGCATAAAAATATAATGTCATTATTATACTACATCATTTAAAAATAAGAGAAATATTTACGAAGAATAACTACTATTAAACATTGTTCATTATTGTTCATATCTTTCTCTCCCTCCTCCCCCCTCCTTTACGCTTTATTCATTGGGTGAGACTAACAGACAATCTCGAATTCAAAATCCTGAAGGATATGTTGAGCGTGGATTATGCCACCAATAAGAATGAGCAATACAAGAAGAATGACCTCATAATAGAGAGATCGATGACAACATAAAGTGCACCACAGAATTCATGATCCAACAAATCCAAGATCTGAATGATCAAATATTGGAAATGATCAGAGATGCACCAAATCAAGGGTAAGACCAGCAACCCCTATAGGAGGTTCAAACACCATATAGTAGAGAGTCTCCTAGCTTAGAAAGGGAGGATGAAGCGGGTCGGCATCAATTGATAGGCATCAGGTCAGCTCCAATCGATAGACATCGGGTCAGCATAGATCGATAAGCATCAGATCGGACGTACTGACACACAATGCCAACAAGAAAACTCATTCTCCCAACAGATTTATAACATCAAGCCACTAGTTTGGTTAAAGATTTTGATACTTGAATCCTGCAAAGGATGAATGGACTCGGTCAATCCCATTACATCCTTTGGGTCAACTGTGTCTTCTCAAGATGAACAAAGCACTGAAGTAAAAGCACTGAAGTGTTGAATCTTCTTCATCATGCTAAGATACTCAACTCTCATATGGTTCAACAGATTATTGGTATGAGTAATCACATCGTTCACATATTTCAAGTAATTGTTCGTTGTATAGTTTGGAAATGCTTAAAAATCCCAGAAGAGCTCACAAAACATCCTACATCTTTGTCAGAGACATTTAAACCCTAAGAACTTTTGTCACTCATTTCCAGAAGAAAATATCAGAGGCTTAGAATCAAGAACCCACAATTGCTCATAAGGCCCTCACACAAGGATTGAAGGAATGACCTTTTTATTACACGTTGGGATTGTAGTGACTGAAGAAAGGTCGGTTCGGTCAGCTGAACGTTTCTCCATGTTGTGTTAAGGATTAAATTAGATGACCACACCTAATCTAATCGTGGGAGTGCAACTTTCTTCTTCTTCATGAAGGACTTCTTCCCCTTCTCACCCTTCAGTTAGTCTCATGCTTTAGGTTTCTTGAAAAAGGAGTGTATCCAACTCTTGGTTGGAATGTTAGTCCAGGCCTTCAATAGATTGTCCATTGCAACACCTAAAAAATGAAAGTCGATAGACTTAAACAAGGAAAGGTGCGTAGCAAATTAAAAATGAGGAGTCTCATCACGTCATATTTATAAGAATTATAAGCTTCAAAATAAAGGGAGATCAATTATTGAATCATTAATTAAAATTAAATGTGCTCTACTTTGGCATTAAATTTTTATATTTTTATCGCAACGTCTATTTCAATCAGTAACTAGGTAAGAGAATCAGTGACCTAAAATATGTACATCAAAAAAATGTATGCATTGATCTTAGAGAGATTCAATGTAATATCACTATTGTACTAACTCTTCTACGAATGAGAAAAATATTTTATGAAGAATCAACATTATTGAACACTGTTCATTATTAAAAATTAAAAAACTGAAAAAATATGATATTAAATTGAGGATTATAAAATTAAATCAATTTTATACATATAAAACATATATTTGTTTATGTTTGTTCATAGTCAAACTCTCCATTACACTAAATTTCAAATTAAAACATCGATTTGGTCAGTTCGTTTTTATTGAAATTTAGATTGGTTCGATTTTTTGAATTTTGAATTTTGGTTTCAATCTGCTTGGCCAATTTGAAAATTGATTGATCCAACCCGATCGAATGCTCACCCCCATTCATTACTATTCATCTCTCTCTTTCTCTTCTAATTTTTATTCTATATTTTAGTTGTTATTCATGAATAATCTCTTATATATATATATATATATATATATATATATGTAATATCTACACTTTAAATTAAATGAATATAAGACATATCAATAGAATCACGTCAAAAATATATACATCAAAACACGTATTTTCATGCAATATTTTAAATAAATATTAAAATTCAAATTTTAGATATATAAATACATAAATCAATTCTCCCTAACAAGTATACGCAAACGCTGCTTTCCTGTAAATGAAACTTCCAAGAAACTAAAAAAGCCCAATAGACTAGAACCTAGTGGGCCTTTCTTGGGTTAAAAAATGGGGGCAATCACATATCCTAAACTTCATATTTACAAATCAGCCACCCACTATCATCCATTTTTCGAAAAAGTGTTCCATATGGCAGAATTGCATATGGTGTCTGATCTCCATCGTTCATCACAGTAAAAATATCTTTCAGTGGGCCCCATTTTTAAAATTTTTTAAAAAAAAACTTAATGGACGTTGAATATCGGATACTGCATGCAATTCAGCATACAGTGTGAATAATTTTTCTCATTTTTCACTCAATTAAATATCAAAATTCATGCTAAAATACCCACTCATATTTTTCATTGTTGATCAAGACATGGTTCAATAGCTCAAAAAAATCACGGGTGATTAATCTGTAAATACCAATATTTCGAGTGACTTGTGAGTAATTATCTTTAAACAAATATATATATATATATACTCATGATATTACACTACTTATCATCACCTCTTCCTATTTTCACGACTTTATAATAAATATTTTATCCAAATAAAATTATAAATTCAAACTGAATAAATCCTTTTTAATTAATTTTATTAAATTGTTAGTGAATTGATTCAATTATAGATTGCAGTGTTAGTTTTTAATAATAATGTATTTTTGTATAATTTTAATAAATAAACGAATTACTATAGATTTACATATTATTTATATCATGAAGATTCAACGTCTATTGTAATACTTATTTGCAATCATGTAGGGGAATATATAATTGAGGATTTTCTCTGTTTTATATATATATATATATATATATATATATATTGACTAAAA